TGGTTCGTGTTTTTTTTTTTAGCGATCAGTTTTGATTTGCCCCCCCTCATTCCTATTTTATTGCAGGTTGGTGAGATCGGGCACGACGATTGTCTGCTTGGGTTATGATGATGTAGGCTTCCTCGATGACGTGGCTTGATGCACAAACCTTTGTCGATCTCTTGTTTAGTATGCTTCTCCAGAGATTCGCACGACCCTCGAGTTTGATTGATGCATGAGTTCGATCGATGCCTGAGTATGCATGTCAGTTTCCCGTTTCTTTTTGGATAGAAAAAATAATCTAACGAACACTCGGCGGTCCCGGTTGATGTATGCTCTGGTGGGTAAGTGGATGGCTGATTCAAATTTGTGATTGTCCGCGGATTGCCTTTCTAGTGCCTGTTTCTTGACGCGCGCATGGGCTAGCATGACGACGGATCAGACGATCTCCCGACCAAAGGGATAGCTAGTCGATCCGATCCAATTGATCGCAAACGTGGTTTCGTGCGCATACGTGCAAGCTCGCTCAAAACGGACATCGCCTACACGCGCGTCTAACAAGACTTGCCCTCGAGTTCATGTCCACACTAAGTCTTGCAAAATTCGATAGCATGGATGATGGGACTCCCTTCCACGTCACAGATCGGGAAAGCCTGAGACACCGACGGTTCAGAGAATACTGGGAGTGGAAAAACGCATGTCTTCTCGCACAACCCCGCCCCAACCCTCCCAAATTCCCCTTTCGGACGAGAAACAAACGTGTCTGTAAGTGGGACATCGAACGGGTCTTAAACGCGATCCCTTTTCCCTCCCAGTTCCCCAGCTCACACGTAAGCCACGTCGTCGCCGAGCCCGGTGTTGTCATCATTGAGACAGAGTTCGCTCCCTATCGCCTCGTGTTGCCTTTTCACTGCCTTACGGCGGCCCCGTGGCACGCACTCGCCCCCTACTGGCCTCGAACCCCGTGCTCTGAGTGCCAGCAGGACAGCGAGTACCGAGCCGCTGGGTTCGTTCGAAGAACCCGGACTGAGGCCGAACGGCGAGCACACCACCTGCGCCTGAGGCCCGCTTCGTCCGACTCGGAGGCTTGTCACGAGCGACGCTGGCGATTGGTTAGGCAACGCGACACACATAGTGTTCCTCCGGTTCACCAAATCCGAGTCCGACCTCGACAACGAAAACTTGCAGGGATGGCGATGACTGCAGGCCTTCCAACCGGACGTGCCTGGGGCGAGGTGGGCAGCACTCGAAAAAGATCCGGATCACGACTGCATGATGTCGGTGGAAGAGCTCACTCGAATTAGGGTGGTGGGCTCTGAAGACACGGGCTACTTTGCCTACGAAATGACCTCCCCGATCTGTGCCCTCCCATTTGACCTGGACGAGTGGGAATGGAGTGGTCGCAAGCCTGACCCAGTTTGGCAATATACGGTAAAAGAAGGGTACAAGCAAGCTCATCCTCTTATAGCCTCCACACCAATCGTACAGAACCGCTGGAAAAGAGACTCCCTGGTGAGCGGCTCTGCCCTGCGACACATTCCTCGGGACACGTACGCACACATAATGCCCACATCCCACAGGGCCCTGCAGTGGCAGATACTTCACCGCTGCCTCCCGACCCCGGACTGGGTGACCTCCCGCTCCTCCCTTGAACAAGTGGGTGTGCTATCCCCCATCTGCACCCACTGCGGAGACAACGCTCAGCGCTGTCGGGAAGACCTGGAGCATTGTCTCTTAGCATGCCCAATGGCCAAAAGAATATGGCAGTGGTGGGATGCCTTCAAGCACACAATGACAGGTACAGTGTTCCACTGGGATGTCGGTCTCATTCTGTTGGGACAGCAGAGAACCTTCCCGTCAACCTGGACACCGTTCCAACGTAACCTCCTCAATCACATGAGACTGGCTGTCCTCATGGTCATATGGAGAATGAGGTGCTCTGCGGAAAGACAAGACTCTGCCTTTGGATTCCACCAGGCAAAGGCGGAGCTAGTGGAAGTACTAAGGGAAAACATCCTCAAAGCCAATCATAAACTGGCTGCGGATTTAGCCAGCATGCCAGACGAGGAGGCGAGAGGACAAGCCATCAAGACCTTTCGTGACCGTTGGTTGGACCCCCACAGCCGGTTAGCAGAAGTCCATGAAAAGGGCAAACTTCGATGGAAAAACTGGGCGGCGGAGGACAGCACGTGGTCCTATAGGTCAATGGATTGTTTCCACAACCCGCTACCAGGACACCCGGCCACGGCATTGGCTGGCCTTGATTCGCCTAACAGGCAGGCCTCTCGGACACCGGATGTTGCGCCCGCTCCCTTTTCCTCCCCCCCCCCACCATCCGAGTAACCGACAGCCCTCCCGGACACCCAATGTGGTGCCCCACCTCTCTTTCTCTTCCTCCCCGCTCTGGACC